AATATATATGTAGTATTATTATAATTATTAATTGTATATAACATTTTTTAATTAGTGGTATATTGATAATTAGTAATAATAATGTTTAGTGGATTAATTAATTTAATTTTTTGAAAATAATAACATAAATTTATAATAATTATTTTTAGTGTAAATAAATTGAATAAGAAGGTTATTGTTGATAATAAACATAAAAATCATGAAAAATCGAATATTTCCCATTTATCCATACTTTTAATATATTGAAGATGAAGAAATATTCATTACAGAAGGAAACGGCCCATTTGTTGCTATCTTTAGATTTATTTCAAATTCATTTCGATCAACACGTTTAAAAAATATCAAATTTTAGAACATCTTACCCAGAAATTTCATTATTAATAAATAAAATCTGAAGAAAATTTTTTAGTGACATGTTAGTTATCAAATAAATATGTATAGACTCGAAGGCTAGTTGGGTCGATATTAAATTGGGTCTCACAACTATGTTGTCTATTTTGTCAACAAATTTAATTATGACATAGCATCCGATCACAATTACTAGAATCCGACACTTGGAATATATTTTACTAAGCCTACAAAATTTTGATTTTGCGTTTACTATTGGAAGAAATCCTCTCCGGTAATAAATTTAAAATTGTTAGTCTTAAAGAAAAGTGACGTGTTTGAAAAAAGTTACTTAAAAAGTAACTTTTATGTCTTCTAACGTATTTTGTAAATAAAGACTATGGAGGTTATAGACTTTTGTAATTAACATTTGAATAGCAATTCTAGAAAACTTATGGACATCAAAATAATTGATATTACTGGACAGTAAAAATAATTATTGTTTTTGTGATGCATAGGGCCCCAATGCCCAAAATTTTACTCAAACCATGCTTTACATTCTAGTTTAAGGCTACATTTAGGGCTTAAAATTTGTTTAGTAGGGATTAAAATTTAGTTTTTAATCTAAAAATCAAAGTTAAAATTAATTTTAATCATGTATTTTATGGGATTCATGATGAGTGTGTTTCTACTCACAAGGTTTACACAATTTTAACTTGATTATTTGTTAGATCTTATGAGTATAGAATGTTTTTGATATATTTGTTAGTGTTGTTTTACAGGTTTTGTGAGGTGGTGTAAAAGGGTGCTAAAGTGAACAAACAAGTCAAAGTCAAGGAAAAAGAGTAGAAAGATAGCGCCCAAGCTCTAGGGCCCAGTCGCCTTGGCGTCGCGACTACCCAAAAGAAGCTGGAGAAAAATAGAGATGCAATGCTTAGGCGCTACCCAGATCGCACATCGCGGCGCCCTCAAGCGCCTAGGCGCCGCATCTTCTGCTCTAGGGCTGCACAGTTTTTGCTTGTTAAAAGTCTAGAAAGACTCCAAATTCAGGAAAAATAACATGAGAAATATAATTAGGAGAAATGAGGCACTTTTGAAGACGGTTTCACACATTGAAACGCACAAGATACAACTTGAGAATTAGAGAAAAAATTAAAAGAGAGAAAAAACAATAAATCAAGAGTTAAGGTTTGGAATCAAGATTGGAGATGATAAAAGGAACTTGGTGTAAGTCTAATCCACTTCTCCATATATCTATTCAAAATTCGGTGATATATTCAATGCAAGTCTTGTGTTTTTCTTCAATTATTATGAGTATCTAAGTTTTTCATTAGGGCGAATAATGTAATATTTTGAGACCATTTAGTTCTTTTATTCAAAATTCAAGTTCTTTCATTATTAATGTGTTAATTTTAATTATGTACTTAATACTTTGAATTACCTGATCACTAATTCAATGATTTTTTTGAATCTTTTACTAATCGAGATGTGAGTTTTAGATTTAGACCACATATTAAAATTCGGTAATTTAGTATAACGTATAGAGACATCTATACAAGTTATTTTGTCATTATGTGAATTTTTAGAACTAATATTTCGTTTAACTAAAATTGATTCGCATAGAGATATGTGATTGAATTAATTAAATTGGTTCAATGAAAACTCAAGATGAGTGAATAGAATACAATAAAAGAACTCGATCGAATACTACATTATGTTATAAATCTTGAATTAAAATTTAAAGGTTATCAATCTATGAAAATGTTGTGCCTTGATATCTATTCCATATTTAAAAAACTAATTCGATCTTGTGTGCAATTTTGATAAATTCAATTTGTTAGAAGTAGTTAGATAAAAAATCTAAATAATTCACAATTCTTTGTTTCTTTTCATCAAATAATAATTAGAAAGAGTAAATTAAGCATTAAAGGTTTAGTCCTCATGTGAACGATAATCCTGACTCAAATATTCACTAAATTACTTGCTACGATATCGCACATTTGC